GCCTATTTGGCAGCCCTCGTCACTCTCCCTGAAATAGAAAACATCTCCCTTTCTACCAGTGTTGCAACTTGTTTATCAGGATCCCCCAAAAGGAACAGCATATGTTTGATATTTTACAGTACTTCCCTGTTAAGACTCTTTTACCAAACAAACTCCATTTCTTTATCTCCCTCCCTCTCCAATCTGGAGTCAAGACCCACAGGCCAGGAGGAGGACCGGGAAGTCACACACACACTGGATCTGAAGGACCCACCCCACAGAACGGCATCTGTGTCCCAGGACGGAGCTCCGGCATTTCACTGTCCTTAGTCAGAGTTAGGGCCTTACACTCTCCAGATCCTTCTTGAGAAACCAAAAGTGGCCTTTCTGCTCATCCTCTTTGTTCCCTGGCTTGGTATAAGGGACCATGGCTTGGTATGAGGGACCAACCATCAGTTCCAATCGAACTTTTTCTTGACTCCGGGGAGATGTCAGATTTTCAATGAAGAGCACACTCTCCACCTCAGATTCCCCAAGATAAGCATGAGATTAGTACCCGTCTGGGACCTTGATGCTTACTGATATATTAACACCCCACCTCACAAGGTTATTTCAAGAACCAAATGCGACAAAACCATGGTGCCAACAGACGACTGGTATACAAGTGTTAGATTTATCACACCACAGCAAGGCTTCAAGTACCAGAAGTGCTGCACACGCATGATTCGCAGCGCTGTGGGCTGCTGAGTTTTACGGTATTTCCAAACAGATAAGGTGATGGCATCAGGTAGGGTGGTTTTGCCTGTAAGTAACAGAAAACTCCACTGAAGGATGCTCATGCATAACAAGAAGTCCTGCAGTAGGGAGGCTCCAGCGTTGGTTAATTCAGAAGTTCAAATATGTCATCAAGGATCTAGGTCTTCCCTTCCACTCTGCCATCCTTAACGTGTTGGCAAGCAACCCACAAGGCCCCAGGTTTGCAAGTGTCCCATCTTCATGCACCAATATCCAGAAGTTTCTAGCAGATTTCCCTTCATATTCATGTCCGTTGTGTGGAGCCAGGGTAAACAGGCAACCCTAAACAAATCACTTGCTTGGGAATGGAATTCTCAAGACTCTCCTGGACTAATCAAGATTACCCCAAGGAGAATTACAGGCGAGGGCCACTTCAGCCAATGTGCGTGGAACATGGACACATTTTGGGTAGGAAGCCAACATTGTCTGCTACAGTGATGTAATGAAGGCTGAGCCCCTAACTGTTTCCCAAGCCAAACACTATTTAGACATGTTCATTTACGTCAGTGAAATGTTTCCTTGGGAACTAGTCTATTTTGAAGATATGCATCCTGCCTTCAGATGCTACTCCTTCCATAAAATTGGCAAAAAGTTTTGCCCTTTCTATGCCAATGGACCTAGAAAATCATTCCAGCTCTGATTATGAAAGTAACAGCTCCCAGGTGCTAAGTCCTAGGCTGGCCAAACTATACATGGGGAAGATTCAACTGCAGACAGACATAAAAAATAAATTAAAAACAAAAAACAAAAAACCACAAGGGGTCATTTTCATGCTATTACACTGCCAGGTGGCTGGAGACCATGGACTTTTGCCTCATTTCATCTGATGTGCTTCTTAATCACCCAAAATACACATCTTCACTTGATGCCCACCAGCAATGAGACTGTTTTTGAAAAATGAAACATGTTCAAATGCAAATTTAATCTTGTCCATCCACTGCTTTAAAATCCTTCAATGGCCCCTGACCACACTTGGGTAAAGCTCAGCTTCTAAATGTGGACCCTGCTCAACCTTACAATCTCCTTTCTTTCTATACTACCCTCCTCTCCCAGTCCTAGTACCCAAGTTATTGGAATGGAAAACATTAAGCATATCTATCCTAAAAATTAGTCTGTAGCAGTTTTAATAGAAATAAATGTCCAATAGTAAGGTATTGGTTAAATCCATAATGATATATACATATGAGGACTATAAAGCAGCCATTTAAAATCATGCCGTAGAATATTTAATGATACAAAGACATGTTCATACAAGATACTGGTAAATGAAGGAGATTATCAAAATCCAGGTTCAAGGATGACCCTAATTTATAATATATATGAATAGACACGTATTGGAAAAGAACGAGAATATTATACACAAAAATGGTAACAATGGCTATTTATGAGGAGTTAGAGAGTAGAAGATTTTAACTTTATTCATTGGACTTTTACCTAGTTTCCAAATTTCATACAATGAATGCCTATCACTTTGACAATCAGAAAGAAATTCCTCGGGAAAAAAAAATGGAGATCTGAAATACGTAAGTGGCCATACCCAGAAAAACCGCAAATCAACGCTTCCGCATCTGTTCTTCCAAGAGCCCCACCCAAGCTCCCCAACCGTGCTCACATTCAGGCACATGCTTAGCAGCTCTTAACCTCTACCTGGTTGCCAGTTTACTGTGGTGCCATGGACAACAGGAGCCCAAGAAAACTCAGGGCCTGGAATTTAATTAAATTTAATTAAAATTTAATTTAATTTAAATCCAAATGTTTCTAAATTTGATAGAGAAGATTATGGGCTGATGGCCCCTTGCTGTACCTTTCTTAGGACAGACATCATACTGTTCTTTCAATGACAGCTGCTGGACTGTACTACTCTTCAAGTCCGCAACTTAGCTATCCATTCTGTTTGCTGAGGCCTGTAGCCCAGTGCCCTGAACACTGAAGGTGCCCAATAAGGAACTCTTTCATGAATACAAATGATCCACCAACTAATAGACTGACCTATCAATGAGTAAATCAACTGACATCTGAGTGTCCATCGGCCCCAGGAACTGCACTGGGTCTTAACAACAACAAATGGCGGTAAAGTGTCCCTGCTTTCAAGTAACTTCCAGCTTGATAGGAAGGCAGAGCTACTGCAAATGAGCCAAATATGTGCTAAATTGTGTCATATTGATAGATCTGAAATAGAAACGGAGAGATGAGAAAGATGAGCATAGACTGGAATACAAAACAACTCTAAAATAGGATCTGCTTTCCAGCTGGAGACCACAGCCTCAAGGCCCACCCCCCAGGATTCCGCCACTCCTGCCCACCCAATATACAGGTTCTGCCCCAGGTCAATCCACTCAGACAACCCATCTACTGAGGCCATATAATTAACAGTTCCTGCATAAGGAAGACTATAATTATGAACTAAAAATCAGAATACAGCCCTTTATCCATAATTATCAAAGGCTATGGTGTTTAGGGGTGGTACTAGGGAGAGGACTGATGGATTCCAGGTTATTCCAGAAGTTCAAAAGCACCATGACTTAGACCTTGGACAGATCCCCTCCCTTTTGTTTGAGAATTTCTCTTTACCCCATCCTTTCATTGATTCAACTAACTAGCTATCAATTCCACAAATAGGAGATTTCAGTCTAAAAGGAGAAATATGTATACACACAAAGTAAGTTAAGAAGGTGTTAATTGCCTTATGAGAGGTGAAGATGAAGTGCTAGGAGATCACTTCTAGCCAGAAGTCAGTAAGTGCTCCATCAAGAAGAGAAAAAATGATGTAGCCTTATGAGCTAGATGGGAAAGGAACAGGGAGAAATGATAGGGGAAACAATATTGTCAAAGCAGATTAAAAAATGTTTTACACACACAGAGGCACAGCTGGGGTGGGGAAGAGGAGTTATAATAGTTTGATTTGGTGGGAAGATAGAAATAAAGATACTTGGAACCTCATACAGAGGGAATTGGACTTCATTGTTGAGATAGTAGGGAGCCAATAAAAGTTCCTAAGAAGGGGAAGGAACATGCTACCCCTCCAATGTTTACTTGCATTGTGCCAAAAAAGAGGAATGCCTCCCAAATGTATCTCTTACCTAACAGTTGTCTATTCAAAATCGGTGCATCCTCTAAGTGATCCTCTATCTTCCCTTTAGAAAGGAGTTTTATTGCTTGTGCTGTGGTAGTCCTAGATTATTCCCACTCTGTCTTGGCAGACATCTAAAATTAGATCTAAAAATAGATGCTAATTAACAAGGTTATTTCTAACTTACATTGTTAAAAAGAGAGGAAAACAGTGATGAAACACTGAGAGTATCAAATTAACCAAGGATGGAACCAACTTCTAGTTCAAAATTCCCACCTCACAGACACTGAATTCACTAAATAGTCTTTTTTTTCTTTTTTTTTTTTTTGTAAATCAGATAGTCATTATCCAAATTTCCTATCCCTGATGTGATAATATAGTGTGATGAGACATGCCCCAACAGAACACAAATTGACTTTTGGAGTCCAGATGCTACATGGAGTGTGTGGATGGTAAAGCAAATATCTCACTCTATTATCTGTTGTCTCTGAACCAACAGATTACATGGTTCACTGACTAGCTGAATAACTTTTAGACAGTTTGCTCATGTCTATTTACACATATTCTACAGAAATATATTAACAACTGAGGAACAGCTGTAAAAATTATATGGCAAGACAGATAGATGAGAGTGACAATCTCTCCATGTACATTTCTGCAGAGAAGACGAAAGTTTTACATGGTAAAGGAAATGGGGGAAAACACACATATGCACATCTGTATGTTGCTGCCACTACAAAGTGTGAATTCCATACAGTAATACAGGCAGTCAAAGAAAGCACATCATAAAATCTCCTGGAGACTCTTTACATCTGTCTGGGATATTACTATAATATGTATCTTTACAGCAATGGGTTTAAGATTTATGTTTGTGCTCTAAAATATTCTACTGGACAACTGTATATCCTAATTAAAAAGCCACTTTTCATAATCCATTTGAGAACCAAAGAAATAGTGAAAGTTTTCTGGTTCACACTTTTACTTTAAAAATATTTATTCTCGAGAGCCCATGCAGAGGTGGTGCAGAGCACTTTGGCACTCAGCGGTTTGGGAATGTGTGCTTTCTGAGAGGCTGCAGCGGAGCCTCCATATAGAAGGCAAGAGAGGTTGGCAGCTTTGAATGAAGCACGTTGAACAATGGCAACAGCTAGGAGTCATGAGCGACAGCAGCGAGCAGAACTATGGCGAGGGGAAACCCGTTCTGTTTCCAGAAGTGGAAGTGCTCATGGATCTGGGAAATCTGCAAGGCATACCCCAGCAAGATCTCGCTCCAAGGAAGATTCCAGGCGTTCCAGATCAAACTCCAGGTCCAGATCTGAATCTAGGTCTAGATCCAGAAGAAGTTCTCGAAGGCATTACACAAGATCAAGATCTTGGTCTCGCTCCCATAGACGATCCCGTAGCAGGTCTTACAACTGAGATTATCGAAGACGGCCTAGCCACCGTCATTCTTCCATGCCCACTCACAGGCGTCATGTTGGGAATTGGGCAAATCCTGATCCAACTGCTGTCTTGGAGTATTTGGATTGAGCTTGTACACTACAGAAAGAGATCTAAGAGAAGTATTCTCTAAATATGGCCCCATTGCTGATGTGTCCATTGTATATGACCAGCAGTCTAGATATTCAAGAGGATTTGCCTTTGTGCATTTTGAAAATGTAGATGATGCCAAGGAAGCAAAAGAGCGTGCCAATGGAATGGAACTTGATGGATGTAGGACCAGAGTTGATTTCTCTATAACAAAAAGACCACATACCCCGACACCAGGGATTTACATGGGGAGACCTACCTATGGCAGCTCACGCTGTCAGAATTACTATGACAGGATATGATCGAGTCTATAATGAGCGAGACTACTACAGCAGATCACACGGAGGAGGAGGAGGAGGAGGAGGAGGATGGACAGCTGCTCAAGACAGGGATCAGATTTACAGAAGGTGGTCACCTTCTCCTTACTATAGTCACGGAGAATACAGATCACATTCTAGATCTCAATCATACTCACCTCATCGCTATTAAAGCATGAAGTTGAAGACTTTCTGAAGCCTACCCTAGAGTTGGGATATTGTTCATGGACAATATTTTTTATTGTCTCCTCTTTAAAAAGTGAACAGTGCCTAGTGAAGTTAGGTGACTTTTACACCTTTAATGATGACTACTTTTGGTGGAGTTGAAATGCTGTTTTCATTCTGCATTTGTGTAGTTCGATGCTTTGTTCCAAGTTAAGTGTTTTCAGAAAAGTATGTTTTGCATCTATTTTTTTACAGTCTAAATTTTGACTGCTGAGAAGTTTCTATTGTACAAGTCTTCATTTAAAAGGTTTTTCTACTGAATCCAGGGTATTCTGAACATCGAAGTCTGTGTGTAAAATGCTACCAACTCGTAAAAAGTAACAATAAAGTTTGGTTTTTACTTTTCTTTCTAACATCAGTGCTTAGCAAAACTGTTCAGATTAGGTTGTCAGTAGTAGATTTCAAGACAAAAATATCTATTTTCCTCCAATCTGTGAGACATACTATACTTAATATACCTGCAACTAAGTGTTAAAAATTATGCTCTGTAACCCTGTACTGCTAGTATTAGAACTAAAGAACTTCCAATACAGCCAATGCTTAATGCTTATATAAATGTAGATTTGTCGGCCTTTATGTAATCTGTATCATATAAAGCAGGGAATAAGAAAAGACATACACAATTTATGCTTTTAAAAGGCTACTTCTTAAAGCTGTTACAAGGGGATAATGGTATTTCAAATAGTTACCAGCAAGCGACAATACCTTCCACCACAAATGCACTCTTTTTCTTCTAGCTTTCAGAGTACGGAAAAAAATGAGTGCTTCAGAGTTCGGGAAAAGAGAAGGGAACACTACACCTGTGTTGTGGATGAACTGAAGACTTGCCTGTTCATTTTTTAAATATTATTTTCAGGTCCTTTGCTTACCAAAGGAAGCCCAATTTCACTCAAATGTTTTGAGAACTGTGTTTAAATAAATGCAAATGAAAAGAGAAGAAAAAAATTCTCAAATCAGAACTCAATTTTAATGTCATCTGCATGTCCTATACATCTCACACTGAAAGAAATTATTAACAAATATAAGAAGATTCTCTACTACGATAAACCTGGTCACTAAGTATTTTGCCTTAAAAATTAGTCTTGTTATGCAAAATTTTGTTCAGATAAATGCTGCCTATCACTCCTTAAAATTTCCAACTTAATTTAGGTAGGGAAATGGATGGTTGGAAGGCACTGGGATTATGCTGCCCTAATATTCAGGCTCTGTGGACGTTTAAGTTTGAAAAATACTGTGTACTGTATCTTCTTTCCATGATTCCAACACACCACTCCCTTCTAGAAGCACTAACTGCCTTTGAGTCCCAGGATGCTTCGGATTCCCCTGGCTTGGCTTGTGTATGGCAGCCTTTTCCCAATCTCCTTTGCAAATCTATCCTTATCTAAAAACTGTGACACAGAAATAAAAAATTAAAATTTTAAAATATTAAAAAATTAAAACCATGAAATACTGGAGCTCTCCAAGCTGCAGCAACCCTCCCTTTGTTTAGGAGAGTCACACGGTGACTAGCTGTATCTGAGTCCTTCGTTCCAGTTACAGGTGGCGACTCCATTTGCTGGGACCTTTAGACACGCCCACACATTTTCCCACGTGGCAGAGCCACTTGAGGATCTCCTCATTCTCAATGGGTCTAAAATCCCCGAAGCCTCCACTCCAGCCCAGATCCTCCTTCAGTCCCCTATCCCTGGGGAGGCACCACCATCCTTCGGCTGGAAAAGCCAGAAAGAACCCCAGAGGGTGTCCCTGACACCTCGATCCTCCTTCCCTCCAAAGTCCAGTCTGTCTCAAACTAGGGTACTTTCACTCTTTCCTATCAGTCTGCTACTGACTGTTCCTGCAGTAGGCTCTCCCCCATTGGATCTTTGCAGGAGCCTCGTACTAGTTTCCCTCTAGTCTAGTAAAAATGGTATCTTTAAATGCAAATCTCATTTGTTAATCTCCCACCTAAAACTCTTCAAAGTCTTCCCATGACTCTTGGAACAAAGACTAAAATTCTTGACAAGACTACGCTTGATCTTGCCCTGCTCCTCTCTTGAGCCTTATCTCATGCCCCCTCTGTCCCACTGGCAGCTCTCCAAACAAGCCTTCTTTCCTTTATTTACACCTGGGATGCTCTCCCCCACCCAGCCTGAGATGCTTTGTACTATCCCCACGCTGTCCTCTCATTTTACTTCTACATATCCTTTAGATTTCAACTCCTCTCCTAAGTTTTGTTTTATATTCATTGTAATTAGTCATATAGATTTTCTTTCTCTTTCACATTATTAACTCCTTAGGGCATATTTTGTGTTTATATTCCTACAACACTGCCCAGTACACTGGTAAGCACAGAAATGACTCCCTTTAAGATGAGCTGAACTAAAAAGTTCACCACGGAAGTGAACTAAGACTGGATAACTGTGATTAGGAAAGAAACAGGCAGCTCATGGAGTGGTGAAAATCCAGGTCTCAAGAGGAGAAACCTGGTGGCAACTTCCTACTATTTCAAGTTCCCAAGGTTAAAAGTTTGGTTATTGAACTGGCCTCCACATTACCAAGTCCAGTTTCTCCTGTTGATTTTCAGATTCCGCAGGTCAGTGTATGTCAGACCCTTTTGAAGTTCACACCTTATCCTTTGTGTCTAGGAGCACATTCTCAGAACATAAAAGAGGACACTTCTGAGGACCCAAGGAACCTTTACTGAAACTATGGCCAAAAACATTACCTTCTTGTATTATCCAACAAACCAAGAAACAGCACAAGTCAGAGGGCTGTGATCACAATGCTAATAGCTAGAAAGTTTCAGAACCTGAATATCAAACTCCTCCATGTCTTCCAGCGAGCGCTAAGGACTCTGGATTATGTGAATCGAACTTTCTTACACTCTCAGACTTTGAAAAGCCCAGCTTGTAATACAGCCTCCTGATGCTTTATTTAAGTCCACGAACTAAGATGTCTGGTCTATTGTTTGAATGCCATTAAGTCAATTTGGGGAAAGGAGGAACTAGGATGACTGTAACAATCCCTAGACATTCCAGTTTTCCCATTAAGGCCTTGCTGAATAAAACTTGCCAATTAAGGCACAGATTTTTCTTTCCTTCATTTGTTTTCACTAGCCAGCTTTCTCCTCATATTGCCCATAATTTAGATCATTTCAAAGACATTCAGTAAGAGTCACCACTGTGTCTGATTCAATTGCCTTAACTTGTTCTTTGTTCAAAAGGCATATGAACAAGTCACTAACGGACAGAAAAAAATAAATTCTCGTTTAGACGAAAACACCTGATACGTCCAAACTCCTATCCATCCCAGCTACCTGTCTATTTCTTCTCATACCCAGGAAGCCAGTGTTCATAGCTACATTTTTCTTTGGGCTGATGATCAGTAGAACTGTTCTTCTTATAAACAGAAATCCCATGAAGAACCTGTTCTGTGCTCCAACTGAAAGTTAAAATGATCCGCAAACTTTACTTCAAACACATAAATATTGCTATCTGTTGCTGGTCTAGTTACTTAAAGCCAAGTTGTAAAAGCAAAGTTCCAGGACTAATTACCTTTCCTCTTGGCTGCTTTGCTGCCAATGCTGTAATCACGGAGGATAATCTTCAGGAGCTTGGCATCATTGCTAGAGCAACCAACCCAACTTTAAGCAATTTTCAATATCTTCCTTTGGCGAATTTTAAATAAAAATAAGACATAACCGATTCCAGGCCACCTTTACCAGCGCTACGCAAGTTTTCCCCATGCTGATGTAGTTATAAGGACATTCAGAACCTAGTCTAGAAGGCATTTTACACAACACACACTCTGTGTGGAAACCACACAGCATGTGCCACCTTCGGGCCAGTCTTCCATCTCCCTGGGGCAGAAGGTCACAGTCAGAAGGAAAAGGCTGACAAGAAGATTGCTGCTTCCTCCAGCTCAGCCCTTGCAGCCATCTCAGAATTTAAATGCATCACAGCCCAATTTCACACCGCCCTGTATTTCTGTTTACTTATCCTGACCGGGACATCAGCAGATCCTGCCACTCTGATGGAATATTCAGATGTTTGGGCTACTGTGTCCAGACTCCCTGACTGATGATTAACAGCAAGCTTTCTGCTGTCCCTAACTAGTTTTTAGCTTATTTTTATTTAATTGTTTTCTATATTATATTAAGGAGCCTGACACATTTTTGGGGAGTAAGAGAGGTATTAATTCTCAATATTAACAAACACACCATCCACGAAACCAGAATTCCTACATAACTACAATTTCAGTAACAGTACCCCCTGTATTTGCTGCCAATTCATCCTCTACAAAGTAGAAACCATTTTTACACAATATCCAGGACAGCAGGCATCTGCATGTGGCTGTGGCCTCCACTGAGAAAAAAAAACAGAAGAAAGTAGGCTTTTAAGTCCATCTGTCCATCCATCCGTCCATCTGTCAGGAGGTATTTATCAGGTACCTAAACAGTGTTGGAAGCATATAAACATAAGACAATTTTCTGCCTCACACAGATAACAAAAATCTAATGATTTTAGGTGGGTTAATAAAATAGGGGGGAAAAATGTTTCCTAGGCTATGGAGAAACTAGGAACAGAGGATTATGTTAGCAGTAGCCCATTAAAAAGATAAGGGAATTAGCTCTGGCCAGTTAAATAACTTGCATGGCTCCTGCTTGAATATCCCTTCCCAAAAAAGATGACTTTCTTTACTAAAATCACTTTTCCAAGGCTGGGGTACATATGTGCCAACTCGTGATCCCAAGAATATGAGGTAAAGTGACTGGATATTATTAATAACACATTAGCCTTACTTGAAAACTATTAGTTTCAACTGTTCATTAAGTTAGCTTTCATTTACTTGAAGCCCAATGGGTGAGTTCAGTGTTTTTTTTCGGGAGGCTCTCAATGAAGTTTCAGGGATTCTTCCTTGACGGATGGTCTTTTTCTTGAGCTGTTGAAGTGGATGTAATTTGGGTGCCCCTCAGTAATTTACATGATGACTGTCAATGTACTACATATCATCAAAGGCAATACACATTTATTTTTTAGCAGTAGTTTTTAAATGCGTGGCTCTCAGATTGTTCTCACTACAGTAATTCAGTTTCTTTGAATATAGAATTTGGCCTCTAGCACTTTCCCCCTTCTTACCTTTTATGGATGTTTGTTCAGATGTTCCCTCACCTAAA